ATAGAATAGAATAGAATAGAATAGAATAGAATAGAATAGAATAGAATTCTTTATTGGCCAAATGTGACTGGACACACAAGGAATTTGTCTTGGTGCAAATGCTCTCAGTATACATAAAAGAAAAGATACATTCATCAAGAGTCTAGAACCATCAGGTACAACACTTAATGATAGTCATAGGGTACAATAAGCAATCAAAACATACTAGGAAACAGTCAATATAAATTGTAAGTATACAAGCGATAAAGTTACAGTCATACAGTCACAAGTGGGAGGGGATGGGCGATAAGGAGTGATGAGAAGACTAATAGTGATAGTAATGCAGACTCTGTAAATAGTTGGACAGTGTTGAGAAAATTATTTGTTTATCAGAGTGAAGGCGTTCAGGAAAAAACTGTCCTTGTGTCTAGTTGTTCTGGTGTGCAGGGCTCTATAGCGTTGTTTTGAGGGAAGGAGTTGAAAACAGTTTATGTCCAGGATGTGAGGGGGTCTGTAAATATTTTATTTAATAACTTTATTGTCACTTTGAATGTACACTAATCGGCCTACATTAAAGTGAAATTTCATTGCATACAGCTCTCAAAGAGTCACCACCTCCAATATACACTCCATCATATAACAAAATAAATAAAATACAGAATTATGCATATACCCACATATATGACACAGAGAAACAACACAGTCTAGTTCAGACGTATACCTGTCCATGGCGAGAGAAACGAATCTTGCAAGTTTACCAGACGGATGGCATAGGGAACAAAGCTGTTACAGAATCGGGGTAGTCCTGCTAGAAATACTTCAAAACCTTCTTTCAAAAGAGAAACAGACCGTAAGGAGCTTGTTTTGTCCAAACTATTCATCAACTCTTGTAGGGAAGCTGTGTCAGCTGCCAGCTGGATTTTGAGCATGGACCCAACTTGCTGACTTGTGACTCTCGTTACAATGTGATTGTCACCAGTGTTTCTCCCCCCCTCTCTCTCCCACAGGTAAATCACACCTGGCTATAGTCCAGAAGGTGAACAATGAAGGTGAAGGGGATCCCTTCTACGAAGTGTTGGGATTGGTAACGTTGGAAGACGTCATTGAGGAGATAATCAAATCAGAGATCCTGGACGAATCGGATATGTACAGTTACGTTCGTTTTAAATCTTCCCCTTTTCGATGGGAGGAATATATATGTTTGCTAAGTACACCGCTTGCCGTGGTAACCTGGCTTACCTATGAAGATTCATGAATGTTTTATTATATGTGATATTTTACTGTTGTTGTGGCCTGTCGACCGCCGGCTCCTCCAGCAGCTGAATCAGATGAGATGGGGTGTGGGAAGAGAGTCAGCATCAGGGCAACCTGAGGGCTCCAAGGAGGAAGAGGGAATGGAGCTGGCAGAGAGAGTGAGACAGAGGCAGATCCTGGGTTGTCCGTCAGCCCTCAGATGGAGAGTCAACAGGCCCCAGGTCTGGAGGTGGCTGATGAGGAAGAGGAGGAACAGCTGGCTCCAGTGCCTGAAACACAGATGCACAGAAGGAGAGGAGAGGAGAGCAGTGGAAATCTATGGGCCGGTCCTTGGGATGGAAGAGCCACTGCTGCTAGCAAGGCCCCACCTTAGCTCTGGGGATAAAAAAGGCAGGGGGCGGAGATGAATAGATGTGGCAGACAACTATTCATCTCCCTGCCGGGCGGACTTGTTAGCCTGGAGAGAGAGAGAAAGAGAGAGAGAGAGAGAGAGAGAGACGCAGAGCCTGGGCCATCCATCAGCCCTCAGATGGAGAGTCAACAGCCCCCAGGTCTGGAGGTGGCTGATGAGGAAGAGGAAGAACAGCTGGGTCCAGTGCCTGACTTTCGGATGTGCAGAGGAGAGGAGAGCAGTGGAAATCTATAGGCCGGTCCTTGGGATAGAAGAGCCACTGCTGCTAGCGAAGCCCCACCATAGCTCTGGGGATAAAAGGCAGGGGGTGGAGATGAATAGGGGTGGCTGCTGGATGGACTTGTTAGCCTGCGGTGAGAGAGAAACTTTTTACCAAGGATGCCAGCATTCCTAATAAAGGAATCTTTGAGTTAACTTCAGAGGGTTTATTGTGTTTGAAGAGCTAGGTCAGAACAATTGTATTGGACTTCTGGCCAAAGGCCATAGTATGATTTTGATCTATATCAAATACCAGAAGGAGACCTCATGGGCCAACCTAGATACCCATCAGGCTACCTATCCCCATCTGGCTCGTTTTGAAAATATTATCGTAATTTAAAAGCTGTAATTGTGGTAGGCCGGCAAGGCGAAACTTCAGCTTCTCTGGGGTCCTCCTTATTTGTCTGTAGGCATCTACAGAAGGATGGTGGAGATCCTTCTGGCCAGTAGGCATTTTGGGAAGAGTAAAGTCTTCCGTGGCAGCCATTTTGTGACCCAGCTCCATACAGATCTTCTCAAAGTCCCCTATGGACTCCAGTCCTCCCCAAATACTGCCTGCCCCTGACATGAAGAATGTTTTCTCACAATGGCTCTCTTCCACAATGCCATGAATTGATGAATTATGCAACACATATGGTTCACACATCATGCAAAGACTCAGAAGTCTCTAACCGTGGCAACTTTTAAGACTTGTGGACTTCAACTCCCAGAATTCCTCGGCCGGCTGAGGAATTCTGGGAATTGAAGTACACAAGTCTTAAAGTTGCCACGTTTGGAGACCTCCGCACTTAAGATGACATTAATTGATCGGGTTGGGATGAGCAGCTTATGCCAACGTTGTGTCTTTAATGACTTTGCCCCTCGCTTGTCACCGTAGCCGACAACCGCACCAAGAAGCGTGTGAGCCACAAGAAGGACAAGAAAGATTTCTCCGCTTTCAAAGACAACGACACGGAGTCCAAAGTGAAGATTTCCCCGCAGCTTCTTCTGGCTGCTCATCGCTTTCTCTCCACCGGTAAGAAACCCCCCTGGGGGGAATTTTGAAAATTTATTTATTTATTTGATTTGATTTGTCAATCGCTTACAAGATAATAAGTATAAACATGAGTCAGAATACAGGAAATAGGTAAGAAAAAATGAGGACAATAGACAGGGATGCTAGGCACGATGGTGCACTTATGTGTGCCCCTTATAGACCTTTTAGGAATGGGTATTCGCTCCCGTCCTTTCCTTCCTTCCTTCCTCCTGCTTCCTCCCTTCTTTTCTCTTCTCCCTCCCTCCTTTTCTCTCCTTCCTTCCTTCCCCTTCCCTGTTCTCCTTCCTCCCCCTTCCTTCTTTCCTTCATTTTTTATTTATTTTTATTTCTTTGATTTGTCAATCACTTACAAGATAATAGGCCTAAGTATAAACATGAGTAAGAATATAGGAAATAGGTACGAATAAATGGGGGCAATAGGGCAGGAACGGGGAGGCATGATGGTGCACTTATGCACAGCCCTTACACACCTCTTAGGAATGGGGTGAGGTCAATAGTGGATAGTTTGAGGATAAAGGAGTGGGGGTTTGGGCAGGTGACAACAGAATCAGGTAGTGAGTTCCAGACATTGACCACTCTGTTGTTGAAATCATACTTTCTGCAATCAAGTTTGTGAGCAGTATAGACGTTTTTATCCCTTATTAAAGAAATAGTTTTTTTTTAAATCTCCTCCTTTCCACTTTTCACTGGGAGGTCAAAGCAGAGACCTCGACTTAACAACAGTTCTTTATAGTAACTGTTCAAAGTTGCAACGGCACTGAAAAAAAAGGAACTTATGACGTTTTCACAGTTCCAACCATTGCAGGATCCTCAAAGTCATGTGATCGAAATTCAGATGCTTGGCAACGGCTTCATGTTTATGACGGTTGCCATATCCCAGGGACACATGATCCCCTTTTGCAACCTTCTGACCAGCAAAGTCAGTGGGGGAAAGCCAGATTCACTTAACAACCATGTCACTAACTTAACCGCGGTGATTCACTTAACGACCGTGGCGAACAAGGTTGTAAAGTGGGGCAAAACTTTCTTAACAAATGTCTCGCTTAGCAACAGAAATTTTGGGCTCAATTGTGTTCATGGGAAGCTCCTTTTGTTTTATCTCTGCATGAGACCACCTGGAAGAAGGTTGGGTTGAAGGCTAGAATCTGGGTTCAGAATTACTCCACAAAGGCGGAACGGGACAATTCACCATGGCCAACTCTCCACAGTCAACTTGCCATGGCCAACTCATTATGGCCAACTTGCTGCAGCCAATTCTCCATGGCCAACTCAACATAGTCAACTCACCATGGCCAACTCTCCACAGTCAACTTGCCATGGCCAACACTCCATGGCCAGTTCACCATGGCCAACTCTCCATGGCCAACTCTCCATGGCCAACTCTCCACAATCAACTTGCCATGGCCAACTCATCGCAGCCAACTTGCTGTGGCCAACTCGCCAAGGTCAACTCAACATGGCCAACACACCACAGCCAACTCGCTGTGGGACAATTCAACAATTCAATTTAATTATTTTAATTTTTTGTCATTCACATTTCATTTGGTCCCCTCCTTCGACATCCTTTCTTTAATGATTTTATTCCACTGTTTCTTCGATATTAATGTAACTCTAGTCCTGTGATGAGTTGGCCATGGGGAGTTGTGTCCTGTGGCAAGTTGACTGCAGCGAGTTGGCCCTGGCAAGATTGCTGTAGCGAGGTGTCCAAGACCCCTGCAAAGCCCCTGAACTAGCCTCTCTCCAGCCCCAGCCCAGCACATTAAGACTATCCTGGCCACGGTCACCCCCCAAGCCGTTGCTTTCTCTACCACCAAAAGGACCCCCGGGTAGCTGGGTCAATGGGAATTGTAATCCTGCCACAAAGTTCAGCCAAGGCTACTTCCTTCTCTCGTCCCACGATCAGGCAGATCACTGCCCGCAATTTGGCCCAGGCAGATTCCAGAGACTAATATGAAAGTCATACACATCTCACAGGGAAATTACAGGGGTCTGCGGACTCCAAAGGCAAGCCTCCATTATCCTGTCTGCTGTGGCTTTAGGTTTGATTGGGAGTTTCCTTCAGGCTTTGCTTGTTTATTTGTGTCCCACCCTTCACCCCTCATCTGCACCCGGGCAATTCACCACCAGCAAAAAATAAAAAATGAAGCTTTTGTCCCAGATATTGCAAAGTGGAGTTGTGGAGGTGGGAGAAAATCCTTCTTTCTGGGAAAGAGAAAGGATATTTTAATTACAACTCGGCTTATAACCATTCGTTTAGTGATTGTTTACAACGGCACTGGGGGAAAAAAGGGGGAATTTTGATGGTTTTTCACACTTATAACCAGGGTGGGATTCAAATTTTTTTAACAACCGGTTCTGTGGGCGTGGCTTAGGTGGTGGGTGTGGCTTGGTGGTCATGTGACTGGGTGGACATGGCTTGGTGATCATGTTATTGGCTGGGTGTGACCAACTCAATATCACTCGCATCGAGGCACGCATCTCCTCGCCTGGCCTCTTGTGACTGTGGGGTTGCTGCAACAGTTGTAAGGGTGAAAAATGGTCATAAGTCACTTTTTTCAGTGCCATTGTAACTTTGAATGGTCACTCCACAGTACCAGCAAAGGAGGGGAAAAAAACTCCAGAAAAATTCCTGAGACAGGAAGTCTAGTCCTGCCAAGAATGTAATAAGGGTTAATAGAGAGGCAGTTTCCGTAAGCAACACCAGAATGTTTCCTTCCTGCCTTCCTTACAGGATTAGGCTGGTAATTTCTTCTAACAACCGGTTCTCCGAACTGCTTAGAATGTTAACAAGCGGTTCTAGCGAATAGGTGCGAACTGGTAGAATCCCATCCCTGCTTACAGCCGTTGCAACATTCCCATGAAAATCTGCTGCTTTTGAGCCTAATTTTCCTCATTTTGTGCCCGGAGAGCCATTAAAAATAGACCTGAAATATTTCAATGGACCTCATGCATTGTAAAAAGCAAAACAAATAGGGGGAATAAAACACCAGGAAATTTTAAGGCGCACCCCCGGCTTCTTACACTGCCTTCTGCGGTCTTAACCCCCCCCCCTCCAAAAATATTAGCGCATCTTCCCAAAGCTTGTCTGTCCATGCACAATGATGTCATGTGCAAAGGATCAGGACCTTAAGTCGAGTTGTAACACAGATTTATTGCTCACAAAGATACACAAGAATCGAGTCAACTAATGGTGGACACGAAATTGGCACTAGAGAAAGGGTCAAAAGGAATTTAAGAAGGGTTGGACTTGGACCGTTTGTGGCAACGTAAGGATCCTAAGCTGAGGGCACATTTAACTCCAACTTTTGCCCCCAATGTCTTGGTTACCTTTTGGGCTGGAGAAAACTCTCCCAGGAACAGCCTTTGGCTGCAGAGATTCAAGTCCAAAACATGAGCAACACAAACTGTAACTTAAAGTCCAAACAAGGCAAAAGGAGGTAATTAGTCCAGCAGAGCAGCAGCAGGAATTCCAGATATGAAGGCATGGCAATAACACAGTTGAGAGGATGCTAGGAACACAGATAAGCAAAGTCAACACAAGATAAACTCACAGTTTGTTCCCAGAAGCTGCCGCACTCAGCCTGCATGTCTCTTAAACTTTTTTCCCAGGTGTGGCTAATGAAGGGAATCAGGGCCGTTTCCTCCCCCGTAAGCCATGCAACCCACGCTGCTCTCTTCTCCGTTCCTCCCTGCATGCCCTAGGATGAAGAGGAGGCGGGCCTGGCTCTTCCTCTGAATTCCCTCTCCCTTGTTCTATCTCTCCCCTGCTCTTCCCAGCCGGACTTTGCCCTTCCCCAATTTCCTCCACAGCCAACAGAGCCATACTACCACTCCCTGTCAGCTGTTCATCTTCCTCCTTGGATTCAGACTCCAACAGGGGCATGACACTTAGAAATTTGGATCAATCCTATTGCAAAGCAATCCCTTCAAGGCTGCCATTTTTCCTGTGTCAATTAGCGCACATTTGTTGGTGTTTCTGTTTTGCTAACACGCTCCCACATGTTTAAGAGCGTGCAGTGTAAAGTGTAGGCATTAATTTGGCACGAAGCACAACTTAGCACTAAGCTCTTGTGGGAATTCCAGGCGCTTCCATCCTTATTTCATTGTTAAGAAATATAGCCGAACAGAAAGTAATATACCTAGTGTCCCAAAGGTGCTTTTTTTTTTTCCCAAGAAGCAACTGGACTTTCTTGTTTTTTTAATTTTGAAGACGTTTCGCTTCTCATCCAAGAAGCTTCTTCAGTTCTGACTGGATGGTGAGGAATAACGGAAGGATTTATACTCCCTGTAGACAGCTGGTCATTTGCATCCTTTTAGAAGGTCGTTGAGGCCACTTGGAGTTTATCTGTGTCCTCGAGGTCACCTGAGTAGTGCAAATGGGTGTGGAGCCTTCTTGGAACCGTTGATTGTGTTGTAGACTGGAGATAGGTGGTGTCATATCCCTCCTCTGTTATCCAATCTACAACATGGTCCTTTAAATCAGGGGTCCCCAACCACTGGTCCGCTGACCGGTACCGGTCCGCGGAACAAGTCCTACCAGGCCGCTGGCTTGCTGGCGCTGCCATCTTTTTTTCATGAAAAAGTGCTTCCGGTGAGCTTTTCCGGGTAGAAAGTGCTTCCGGTGAGGTCACTGGAAGCACTTTTTCATCAAAAAAAGATGGCGGCGCCAGCGCTTCCGGTGAGCTTTTCCGGGTAAAAAGTGCTTCCGGTGAGGTCACTGGAAGCACTTTTTCATCAAAAAAAGATGGCGGCGCCAGCGCTTCCGGTGAGCTTTTCCGGGTAGAAAGTGCTTCCGGTGAGGTCACTGGAAGCACTTTTTCATCAAAAAAAGATGGCGGCGCCCAGCTGATGCCGGTACCGGGCCGCGGCGCCCAGCTGATGCCGGTACCGGGCCGTGGCGTAAAAAAGGTTGGGGATCACTGCTTTAAATGGTTCCAAGGAGTCTCCAAAAAGCTCTCTAAAAGGATGCAAATGACCAGCTGTCTGCAAGGAGTATAAATCCCTCCATTCCCCACCATCCAGCCAGAGCCGAAGAAGCTTCTTGGGTGAGAAGGGAAATGTCTTCTAAGAAAAAACATAGAAAGTCCGGTTGCCTCTTGAATAAAGCTCCTTTGGGACAACCCTGGCCTGGATGACTGAGAATCTCCAGAGACCTTCCCTTCCCTTCCCTCCCTACCCCCCAAGAACAACTCTCCTTGATTAGTTTCCATCCATCACTTCTTGTCTCGCCTTCTGGTGCTTTGGAAAATAAGTGGACCCCCCTCTTCTTTGGGTAAAAGGTAAAGGTTCCCCTCACACATCTGTGCTAGTAGTTTCCTGCTCTAGGGGCCGATGCTCATCTCCGTTACAAAGCCAAAGAGCCAGCGCTGTCCAAAGTCGTCTCCGTGGTCATGTGGCCGGCATGACTAAACGCCTTCAAAGGCGCACGGAACGCTGTTCCCTTCCCACCAAAGTGGTCCCTATTTTTCTACTTGCGTGTTTTACACGCTTTCCAACTGCTAGGTTGGCAGAAGCCGGGACAAGGAACGGGGAGCTCACTCCGTGACGTGGCGCTAGGGGGTTCGAACTGCCGAACAGCCGATCTTTCCGATCGGCAAGCTCAGCGTCTTTAGCCGCTGAGCCACCGCATCCCTCTTCTTCTTTGGGGGCAGCCCTTCAAAGACTGCTATCAACCCCCTCTGCCCTTTTTTTATCCCTCCAGAGGTGACACAGTTCACATCTGCTTTCATTTCGGAAAAAATCCTCTTGCGCCTTCTGAAGCACCGCGATGTCATCAACGAGCTGAAGTTCGACGAGGAGAACAAGAAGTCTCCCCGCCATTTCCTCTTCAACCGGAACAAGCCGGCTGATTTCTTCATCCTCATCCTTCAGGTAACGGGGCTGCTCTGGATTCAAGCGGAAAAGGATCTGTAAGGAAGGGAAGGGCGGGGCAGTGGTGGGCTGCAACCGGTTTAACAACCGGTCCTGTGAGCGTACGCATTGCTCGCATGATTCATGCGACGCTATAACCTTCCTGTCATTCGCACAAGAAACCAGGTTATTTGCGTAAAATTCAAATTAACTCATTTGCGCAATAATGAGGTTACATTCTTTGCGTCCTTTGGGCAACGGTGCGATGCATCGGATGCCTTCGTGGCGCATGCCAAATGCCCGTGGGTAGGCCTGGGTTGAACCGGGGTGGGTTTTAACCAGGCCTGCCGTTACAATTCATCTGCCAAATCTCACAGCAGCTTTTAAGCCTGGGAAATACGAGTCCTCGTTGGCAGAGTTCCTGTGAGAAAAAGAAAAAAAGAAAAGAAAAATAGCAGAAGCTTTTAAAGAGCTTTAATTGTTGCATCTTAATGGTGATAATTGCCTGAGAATGCCCCATCCGCCTCCCAACTCTCATCTGCTCAATCAACAGAATACAGTTTTTTTCTGAATAATGCTTGGGGGTGGGATGCAAATATTTTTACTACAGGTTCTGTGCCATGTGACAGGGTGGGCATGGCTTCTTCCTTTCTGCGCTCCAGTTTTTCTTTTTCTCTTTTCGCCTCCTGGGCCTCAGGGAAGCCTCGAAGCCTCTTGGGGGGACATTTTTGCAAAAAAACAGAGTGCAACACACACACACACACGTCCACGCTCCAGGGTTGGTTGGTTTATTTGCCTTCCTGGGCCTCAGGGAAGCCTCTTGGGCAAAGCAGTAAGACAGCAAGGGGAATCCTGGCACAGCTGATCGTTGGAACAGCTGATTGTCAGGATCGGGCAGGAAAAAAATCCCCTTTCGGCCGAACGGTAAAAAATTTTTTTACTACCGGTTCACACAAACCGGGCCAAACCGGTAGAATACCACCACTGATAATGTTGTGAGGTTGGATCCAGCTCCAAGGAACATCTGTGGTATTCTAAAACAGATTTTCTAATTTTTCAGGCCCCACGGAACCTGTTAGAACCACTGTAGTAATAAAAAAAAAACCTGTTTTTTAAGTCAAGGGTGTCCAACCTTGGCAACTTTTAAGACATGTGGACTTCAACTCCCAGAATTCCCCCAGCTTCTTTGCTCCTCAGTCTTTTATGCGACGGTGCCCATCTATTTCCAAATATTATCCCCCTTCTGAGATTAGATTGGCCCATCCCTGTTGGGCTTTTCGTAAGATCTTGAATATTTGGCTTTTTGCCCGAAATTGGAGCCCTGGGTGTGTATTAGAGCCATTTTTATTGGTTGAGTGGATGATAAATTAAATCAAGGGTCAAACGACCCCATAATCCCTTGCCGGGGTGGAGTCTGAGTAACTGAATGGAGCTAGAAGAGTGCTTCAATGGCCGGATGCCCTTCCTGTCACCAGTGTGGAGTGTTGTTCAGCAGATATATTCTCATTGGGCCCAGAGAGAGAAATATCTGCCTCTACCTAGGATTGAACTCACAGCCTCGTAAATTGGATAAATAAATGAATGTATAAAATTTGCTTCCTTGGCTCTAAATGTGGACCGCAGTGTAAAAAAAACACCTATTGTATTAATTTCAATACCCCCTGCTCCCCCTTTTCTTAATCCTGATTGAAGCCCCTACATTTGTAAATCTGATTTTTAAAAAACAAAAAACAAAAAAAAAAAACCCACCCAATTTACTCCTTGTACAGATTGCAATGCTTGGAAATGAGGACCATTTCCCAAAGATGGGATTCAAAAATCCCAGCAACCGGTTCTCTGCCCAGTTGCTGGGTGGGCGTGGCCTATCAGAACTTCTGGGAGGGCTGTTTTTCACCTTTCCCAGAGTCCAGAGGATTCCCTCGGGCCTCTGGTAGGGTGAAAACGGCTTCCCCCGGGATCCGAAGGCCAACTGGAAGCCAGAAACAGGCCCGATTCTGGACTTCCGGAATTTCTGGGAGGGCCATTTTTCACCATCCCAGAGCCTCCATGCAGATCCTGTACTTAACTACATCCAAAATGGGCCGCATGGAGACTCCTGGGATGGGCGGGGTCGGGTGGGCAGGGCCAGCCAGTCAGTCGGTTCAGCAAACCAGATGTAAATTTAACATCTGGTTCACTCGCACCAGCCCGAACCGGCTGAATCCCACCCCTGTATGTATCCCGCCCCCTTCCCTACCATTTTTATTCTGCAAAGTAATGTCTCAATTCAGATCCAATCCCCTTCGAATATAAAAGGGGAGAAATGCAAACAAACCCATACGTATTTCCATAAAATAATAACCTTCGATCTTTTTTTAAAAACGGCACCGAAAGGCTTCTGAAAAGCTGCAGACATGGGCTGCTAAGCTGGTGACGTTTTACCCTGAATTTTATTTTTTGCATTTGCTTTATTTTGTCAGGGCAAAGTGGAGGTGGAAGCTGGGAAGGAGAACATGAAGTTTGAAACCGGGCCGTTCTCTTATTACGGAGTGATGGCGTTGAGTCCCGTCGTCACAAGTAAGTTCCCTACTTCAGTTTGGCTGCATTGCGGGGTGTTCTTTTCCTAGGCCTCCCCCAAAAGCACCAGGTCAATTCTGAGTGCCGGCAAGTACCTCTTTCACTACATGAATGTGAATGTATTTCATTCACAGTCAGCCAACAGCTTGGCAAACGGTCTTGCAAAGATATACTTAATGAGCTCAGACCTTTATCAATCCTGGAATGCTGCCTGGTAAATAGTTCCACACATAACTGCTGGCAGGGAAGGCCTGGGTTGTAGAGACAAATCTCCACAACGCTGGAACATACAAACGACTGGATGAGCGAGTTGTTTCCTGCAAAAGCCCCCTCCCCTTTTGATTCTCTTTTAATCCTGATGGGAGGGGCCGTTCATCCCACCTGGCCTTACTCCCACGTCGCCCCTGAGTTCTTAATTGTGCCTTCCTTTGGGCAGCTTTGCGCATGCGCAGGCTGGGAACCGGTTCCAGAAGCTCCCCCGCCCACTGCTGTCTGAGCCCGAAGGCAGCTGATGACTGCCAGCCTGCCCTGGCCCAATCTCTGCCTCTGACGCAGAGCCTTCATCCGTGCCTTCCTCAGCCTCCAGGAATGGCCCGGGTTCCTCCCCAATCTACTCACTACTGTCCCACTCTGCTGCTAGCTCCGCCCGCCGCTGGCGGGCCACAACAAGGGGCGCCAAGAGGAGGCACAGAAAAATAGCTGGTAACAAGAGTGTTCTGACCCAAACCCTTGACCAATAAAATAAACACAAACCAAAGGGAACAGAAACCTTTTAATGAGTCTTACGAATCCCCGGTTAAAAGGCTTCTGCAAACTAATTAATTTTGATAAGCACGAGCCTCGCCAAAACTGTGCAAGGCTGCCAAGAATCACAGATAAGAAATCTTTCACCACACAAGAGTCTTCAAATACCAAATTAAGATACTGTAATGTCCACAAGGCTGAGTTTCAAAACGCCTTTGCTTCCTGCAAAGAACGTCCGATTCACAGCTGCCTTTTATCTTTTTGAAGGAGGGGCCATTACCTTGCAGCCTTACTCCCGAGTCACCTGTGCTGTTGTAGCTGCTCTTTCCTGCGAGCAACCCTGTGTGCACGTGCCTTTGGCACAGGCTCCTCGGGAACCTCCTCATAGCTGCTGCCAGCCACCACAATCTCTGAAGACAGCAGTTCACTCCCTAATAGTCCTGGCCCCTCATCTGAGTCCTCGTTCTCCTCAGCCATCTGTACCTGCTACCGGCTAACCACAACACAAGAGCGAGCCTCCAAGTTTTATTCATCGACTCATTTATTTATTCAGTCTTCTGAATAAGCACTGGTGAAGTTGCCTAGTTGGGTGATAAAACGTCTGCAGGCAAACAACCAAGCTCAGAGACGAGCAAGGAGCCCAACATTCAGTATTTTTGCCTTCTTACCTGCCCCAATCAAGAAACCTCGGCAGGTTACAGGTAGCCCTTGACTTACGACCACAATGGAGCCCAACGTCTGTTAAGGGAGTTTTGCCCCATTATATGATTTTTCTTGCCGTCTTTGTTCACTGCAGTTGTTAAGTTAGTAACATAGTTTGTTAAGGTAAATCTGGCTTCCCAATTTTCAGAAGGTTGCAAAAGGTGATCACATAACCCTGGGACATTGCACCTGCCATAAATGTGAGTCAGTTGCCCAATATTCGAATTTTGATCACGTGGCCATGTGAAAAATGGTCATACGTCCCTTTTTTAGTGCCGTCATATCTTCGAATGGTTTCTGAAAGAACTAAATGGCCTCTTTAACCCCACTGTATGGCCATTTATGTCAACATTGAACAGCCCTCTCTCAACAGAGGGGAAAAGATACCACATTGCCTATCTCCAGTGTACAACACAGTCCTTTCAACAGCTCCAAGAAGGCTCCACGCCCATTTGCACTACGTGGGTGACCCTGAGGGCACAGAGGAACCTCCAAGTGGCCTCAACAATCCTCTAAAAGGATGCCAATGACCAGCGGTCTGCAAGGAGTATAAATCCTTCCATTCCCCCCTATCCTGTCAGAGCTGAAAGAAGCTTCTTGGAGGAGAAGTGAAATGTCTTCAAAGAAAAAACCCAGAAAGTCCAGTTGCCTCTTGAGAAAAGCACTTTTGGGACACCCATGACTTGGTGGACTGAGAAGCTCCATAGACATTGAGCAACAGTGGGATGATACTCTCAGCTGGAATTGACCTAGTCTAAACAAGCTTTTTAATGCAATGGGGGGGGGGAACCACACAGGACCAACAAAGTGGGAAGTTTCTGCCTCGCCTCCCAAGATGCCGATGTCCTTTTGGACAAAAGTTGATTCTTCCGGTTTCCGTAACATTCAGTGTTAGGTTTCTGCCCTCTGGTGGCCGACATTCAGCCTACAGTTTCCCCCTGCAGAACACGCAGTGCTTAAACTAGTCCCAGAAAAAAAGGGACTTGTGACCCTTTCCCACACTTTATGACCATTTGCAGCATTCCCCAGGGTCACGCATAGTTACGACGGTGCGCAGTCTCCCAGGGACCTTCTGCCAATCAGAGTCAATGCTTGAAGCCAAATTCACTTAACAACATGTTACTTTTTTTTTTTATAATAAACTTTGTTAGTCTTTTATGACTTTTTTAAAAAACAAACAGAGTACAAATATCTTAACTTCAACAGTTTGTGGCATTCGTCTTATACTACTATTTTGTGGATTATTTACAAATATATACAATTGATGCGAATAGAAACATTCGTTTTTTTCAGTGCCGTTGTAGGTTTAAACTAAAGGAACCTATTTTATGACCTTTCTTGCCACTAATTCTTTTGTCATCCCATTTATCTATCTGTGCTCAAACCAGTCATGCCATTTTTCCCAAGTCTTATAATACTCAGTCTCCTCTTTCTCTTGTAACATCAGAGTTAATTTATCCATCTCAGGACAAGTCATTATTTTTTTGAATAATCAATTCATCTGGTGGTATACATGTATGTTTCCAGCACTGGGCATAAGCAATTCTGGCTACAGTTAGAATATATAGTACTAATATATTTTATATTTCTCCCATATTTCTTTTTCAATATCCCCAATAAAAATAATACCGGTTCTAGTTCTATTGCTTCATTCATAATCACTTGCAACCATTGTTTAATTTTTAAGCAATATTTTTTGGGTCTCCAGACAGAACCACCACATGTGATAGAATGTTTTTTTTTTTTTGCACTTCCAACATAACATGTTACTAACTTAACCGTTGTAGTGAGTCACTTAACAACGTGGCAAGAAAGGTCATAAAATAGGTTCCTTTAGTTCAAACCTACAACGGCACTGAAAAAAAATGACTTACGGCTGTTTTTCACACTTCTGACTGTTGTAGCATTTCCAGGGTCACGTGATCCAAATTCAGAGGCTTGGAAACTGGTTCGTATTTATGACCGTTGCTGTTTCCAAAGGTCATGTGATTTCTTTTTGCGACTTTCTGACTAACTTAGAAACTGCAGTGATTCAATTAACAACTGAATAACAGAGTTGGAAGGGATCTTGGAGATCTTCTAGTCCAACCCCCTGCTTAGGCAGGAAACCCTACACCACTTCAGAAAAATGGTTATTCAATCTCTTCTTAAAAACTTCCAGCGTTGGAGCATTCACAACTTCTGGAGGCAAGTTGTTCCACTGGTTAGTTGTTCTAACTGTCAGGAAATTTCTCCTTAGTTCTAAGTTGCTTCTCTCCTTGGTTACTTTCCACCTGTTGCTTCTTGTCTGCCTTCTGGTGCTTTGGAGAATAGCTTGGCTCCCTCTTCTTTGGGGCAGCCCCTGAGATATTGGAATATTCTTACTGGAAGAAAAGTCATAAAATGAGGCAAAAAAAAAAACACTTAACAAATGTCTCACATGGCAACACAAATTTTGTGCTCAATTGTGGTTGTAAGTCAAGGATTACCTGTACTTAACAACCTAGATTTAGGCTTCTGATGGCTGCCCTGACCCCTCTGTGGGTCATGTGAATCGGATGTGGACTTGACTCTCAGCCTGCATTTGAAATCATTTGCAGGGCCCCATCCAGACACAAAAAAACCAGGAGCCAGGATAGAGTTCCAAAGTAGGATGAGTTTATTTCATGCTACCTGTACCCAAAAATCTGATCTATCAGTGCTCAAGACCAGGGGTCAGCAACCTGCGGCTCTGGAGCCGCATGTGGCTCTTTCATCGCTCTGCTGCAGCTCCCTGTTGCCGGTCAGCTCCACAATTGATAGGGCTTTTGGTTAGGACAGGTAGAGGAAAAAGGTGTGATGACCCAAAGGGGTGTGGCACAAAAGCAACACAGTCAGATAATCAATAAGAGTCCCTTTATTAGCTCCAACTTTGCCCCCAATGTCCTGGTTACCTTCTGGCTGGAGAAAAACTCCAAAAGTCCAAAATGTGGTCAACAAAAACTGTAACTATAAGTCCAATCAAACCAAACTGAGGTAATTAGTTTGGGAGGGGCAATAATTCTAGACATGAAGGCACAGAAAAACTCACATGGTTGGGAAGACACCAGGAACACAGATAAGCAACGACAACACAGGATAAAGTCATGTTTGTTCCCAGCCGCCGCCACACTCAGCATGCATTTCTTTTAAACTCTCTTCCCAGCTGCGGCTAATGAAGGGAATCAGGGCCCTTTCCTTTCCCATAAGCCACGAAACCCACGTTGCTCTCTTCTCCATTCCTCCCTGCCCTAGGATGAAGAGGGGGTGGGCCTGGCTCTTCCTCTGAACTCCCTCTCCCTTCTTCTACCTCTCCCCTGCTCTGCTCAGCCGGACTTTGCCCTTCCCCAGTTTCTTCCACAGCCAATGGAGCCACACTCCCACTCCCTGTCAGCTGTTTGTCTTCCTATTTGGATTCACACACCAACGGGCATGACAAAAGGACACCGCACTAGGAGGAGACTCTATGGTGGGGGAACCAGACGTCTGGTCAGCTCCAGAATTGAACAGGGGGCTTCCGGTTAGGGACCTTTGTGGCTCTTTGAGTCTGCCGACCCCTGCTCGAGACAAATTGGTGCCTGATAAACGTCAACAGACTTGAAAGGGGGAGTGGGCTAGAATTATATCTCTTACAGGGATATCAGGACTCCAAACTGATGATACATTTGACCCCACCCTCAGGCTCAGCCTGGTCATCTCCTGCAAACTTGTGCTCACACAACAATAATTTATGACATGTTTAGCTGGAAATCAACCGTTACTTCTGATTTCCGGCCAAAAAAAACCCCCCAAACCCTACCCATTGTGGACAATGGTTTTATTTAATCATGTTGGCATTGACTTTATGACTCAGTGTTCGATTTACCACATTCACCAAACGACTACCGGGGGGGCGGGGGAGGCATAAAATCAGGCGCGATCAAATGATGATCTGCTTAACAATTTGGCTTGACTTACAACCGTAATTCTGGGCTCAATGACAGCTATAAGTCGAGAATTACCCGTAATGTTGTCATTCCAGGCACTGCAATGTTGTTAATTTTTGTTCTCCTTTTGTACCTCTCTTTTGTCCGGTTCCACCTTCTCCTCCATTTTATGTGCGTGTAGCGCCACCAGACAGATCCCAGCACCAGTCCATTATTCAGAGAGGTTCCTTGCATTCCAAACTGTCAGGTAAAAAAAAATTGCACTTGATGCACAAGGGTGAGTGCCAACACATTAATGCTTTGGTTGGACTTCAGGGGCACAGGTGGGTGGTGCAGGAGAGTTGGCCAAGGAATGAGATAATGCTCCATAATTGCTTGAAAAGATGCTTGGAGTTTGGAAATGAAGACTCAATCATCCAGGCCAAAAGTATTTTCTTCTCCTCCTCCCCCTCCTCCTCCTCCTTCCTCTTCCTCCTCCTTCCTCTTCCTCCTCCTCCTCTTCTTCGTCCTCTTCCTCTCCTCCTCTCCTCCTCCTCCCCCTCTTCTTCCTCTTCTTCTTCCTGTTCCTCCTGTTCCTCTCCTTTCTCTTTCCCCTCCTCCTCCTCCTTCCTCTTCTTCCTCCTCTCCTCCTCTCCTCCTCTTCTTCTTCCTCTTCTTCCTCTTCCTCCTCTTCCTCTCCTCCTTTGTCTTTCTCCTCCTCCTCCTCCTCCTCCTCCTCCTCCTCCTGCTGCTGCTGCTGTCATATCCTTGGACATTGGCGATCCTATTTTTATCAACAGCTGCACGAAAAACGGCTGCTGAGTTTTGCCCAAATCGGTCCCTTAGATTTTGAAGCCATAATGTCCTTCTTCTACCTGGACCTTCGTTTGCCGTCAATCTGGAGTCCACAGGTCTTAAATTGCTTGATTTTTAAGGGATTAGGTGGAAGTATGCCATATTTTTCC